TGCCCTTCCATCCCTCCTTTAGAGACAGAGTGTCCTTCTCACACCCTGAACTCCAGGTTATGAGACCCAAGGCCATTCATCCTTTGCCAGCCTCGGTATCTCCATCATTTGCACAAGGACTGCTTGTCAGTGTCAGCACTCATGCTCCCTGCCCTTTTCCCTTGTCTTAGAGCCTGGGAACCCCAACTTCTTTACTTTCTCATTCTTGCCATGTCTCCACCCACCCTATGAGGGAGGTCTGGACATTCCCTTGCCTGACCTGCCCTGCCCCTGGCCTCCAGCCCTGGTGTACACCCGCTGCAGGTGGGGGGATGCTGCCATGATACCTGCTCCCAGAGGGAGCAAAGAACCAAGGCCCCAGCGAAATCAGACATACCTGCCTCTGTACTCCAGCTCCAGTGCAGGGAGAGGAGCAGATCTGGCTATTCACACCATGGGGGGAGGGGGAGCTGGAAATGATGCAGCACCTACTCACCTTGCACTTCAGCCTTTTAGAACCCTGGCCCTGTCCTCCAGAAAGCAAACTTCGCTGGGTTCTTGGGACCTTAGCCCATCTGTAGTTATCTGCCCCCCAACTCCAGCAAGGGGCAGCGGCAGGCCCAGAGAGACAGCAGAGGCCTGCAATGGGGGGCTGGGGTGGGGCAGCTATCCAGATTGTCCCAGCAGCACCCTGTATATGCCCCAGTGCTCAGTCTCCCTGCCAAAGTAAATAGGTTCCCTCTCATGCTGCAGCTAAATTTCAGAGCAAAGGGGGGCTGCAGGTGCACACTGGTACAGTCTTCTTCAAGTGCCTCCAGGCACCTTTCAGCCTGCATACACACCCCATACACACACCCAATGGGTGGCACTCACCCTGTGTAACCCACCAACTTTTGTTTCGGAGGTCCTTCCCACATATAACTCAAATACCTCAAGTTGCCAAATAGGCTTTCTTGAGGGGCCTAGGTCTGCCTACAATGAGGCAGAGCATGTTCACACCTGCTGGACAGAGTCAGTTTAGCACTTGAGGCCAGTGTTTGAGGTCTGTTTTGCAATAGTCACAAACGGATCGTCCCAGCTCTGGATCTGCCTCAGTGTTCCCATAAGTACAGAGGGCAGCAAAGATGCCTTCCAGTGCTTCCCTGGGTATGTTGGACCCAGGCCTCCTCCTCTCAGTCAGCCTGGCCTGCCCCCTCCTTAAGGAGGCACCATTTTAATTCACATTTATTTTTAGAATGAAGACTCAGTTCTTCACTTTCAGACTGGTGGTGGAATGGGGTGGTGCTGAACAGTTAGGAAGGGAGGCTCTTCCTGACCAGCCATATTAAAGGAGACTCTGCCACCCCCACGTACACCCCCACAAATGCCTGAAATGCTGCCACCCTTGCCTCCTTCTGCCCGAGCAGCTGAGCATGACTGAGGGCAAAAAATTCCATTACTCTGGGCTTCAGAATGGAGAGCATGGCCCAGAGTGACTCCCTGGGCTCCTAGTCCAGTGCTCAGTCCACCAGAGAGAGTTACAGACTCCCCTCCACCTAGCCCACCCACCTCCGTCTCAGGCCAGATAGCACTAGATGCAAGTGATTAGCACGTCCACAGAGGTAGGCACCTCAATCTCCGCAAAGAGCACGCGATCCCGTGTGAGCCCCAAGCCCACAGACTTGGCCGCCCTTAGCAGGTCCTGGGCATGCTGCAAGAGGCTCTGGTTCCGACGGCGTCCCAGTCTGCGCAGGGCCAGAATGGCCAGTATGTGGTGGCGCCTGCAGAGACATGGGGGCTCTTACTGCAGAGTAGTCCCTGGCAACCCCAGCCCTGAATTACGGAAACCCTGGGCTTGGAAGGAAGTATGAGTCACCCAGCATTCTTGGAGTCCAGACTGATCCAGAACAACAGAAAGCGGGAGTGTGGACTTGGGGGTGCACTGTAGCTGAGCCTTGAGGGGCGGAGACACGCACAGGGGAGGGGGCATGTCCACAGCAGGAAAGACCTATGCACAGGCACCCAGGGAGTCGCGAGGGGACCGAGAAACTATAGTGGAGAGGGAGGCAGGGAGGGGAGGGAGGTGTGGTCTTGGCTAGGAAACCGCAGGCTGCGCAAGGTGTCCACGAACAACGCCTCCAGGAGCGGGCCAGTGCGCAGGCTGAAGCCTCTTAAGCGTCCCCCCTCTCGCCAGTCTGATTCCGGCTCCAACCAGAGCCCCACCCCACCCCAACTCTGCCAAAGAGGGCGGGGCCAACCCCGGGATTGGGGAACCCCAGCGGAGGAGGGAAACTCCGGCGTAACCAGGGAACCAGGGGACCGTCTCTGAGATCCGAAAGCTGGGAGTCCACGCCGAGTGGTGGGCAGCCGGGACTCAGGCCAGGGGCTGGGCAGGGCTTTCTGCGGCCTCCCCATTCCGGAATCTCCACGGCCGCGCAGGGAGCTAAGCTGGGATTTCCATGGTCCGGGATCAATCTCCTTCCTCCCGGCCCTGTCTCAGAGTCCTGGGGCCCGCGCTTACCCCCTCGGATTCCAGGGGCGGAACCGTGACCCGCATGGGGCAGATCAGGGGTGGTGGAGAACACGCAGCCCCGGCTCCCTTCTCTGCTTAGGCACCTTAAGGTCCGAAGTCTACCCCGCGCGGTTGTCCTCAGGCACATGCGCACACAGCGTCGCACGGGTTCGAGACTCCCCCCTTTCACCTCAAACAAGCTCACTCCTCCCTCGGCTCATCACCTGCCCACCCATAGCCACTGGGACTCTTCAGAAGACGGGAAGCCTCGTGAACCCTGCTTCCGTAGGAACCTAATGGGGGAGCAGGGCTGCGAACCTGATGTCTGGGTAGCTCCGGATGAGTGTCTCCAGGTGCCTGCGGATATCGTCTTTGTAAGTTTCGCCCAGGATCATGGCCACGCACAGGATAGCTTGGTCTAGCCACGTGGCTTCAGAGCCCTGAAGAGACAAGGAGATGTGTGTGGTTGGGTCACCTTCCCCAGGAGTCCCGGCCTGCAAATCACTGCTTTTGTGCACCGCCAGCCGGCGTCCCCACTGTGACTGATTTCCCCACAACAGGAGGAGTCAGGGACCTGGGCACTGAGGGCACATCTGCAACACCAGATTCATCTCCCCGCCCAACTCTCATGCAGTGGAAGCTTCCTGTTTCTGTGCCAACGGGAAACTGAGGCTGAGCTGGGAGGAGCTGCTAGGAATCATCCCGTCAGTGGGAGACCAGAAGGCCAGATAAGGGGCACATCAGCTCAGATGCAATGGAAGGAAGTCTCCATCAGTGGGCCTTGCCCATCAGATGGAGTTGCATCCCTCACTCCTTCCCCAAGTGCCCAGAAAACTGTATGGGAAAAGTGCCTTCCCCATCACTACCCACCCCCACTGGGTGTGAACTTCCAGCTGTTATCTGTGGGAGAACCACTCCTGCCAAAGGCCCCTGCACCCCGGCGTCAGGGTTCTTTCCCTGAGAATAGGGGTGCTAGTGGTAGGCCTGAAAGCAGGACACCAGCGCCTCCAGGCAGTCAGATGCTGCTCCTACCAAGCCCTGGAAGGTGCCACTAATGGCCTGGGCATCCATGCTCATCTTCTGAGAGCCATTCACACGCTCCACTCCCCGGAATCTTTCCCGTGGCCTCAGCACCTGTGCCAGGTACTCGCGGACCACATACCGGTGTACCTCCTGCAGAATCTCCTGGGAAGGAAAGGTCAGAGTTAAGTCCCTAGCTCTGGACAAACCCCTGCAAGGGCCCTCCTACTCCTGGTACCTGTGCCAGTGGTGGAGCCACATGCTGTAGGTGGTGGGCAAAGGTCACCACTTTATCCATGAGGGGATACAGTGTGTCTTGTGTCAGCCAGCTCTTGGTGCATAGGACTCTGAAGAGTGGCTAGGAACAGAGGAAAGTGGGATTGAGCCAGTGTATCACTCCTGACCCCCTTCACTATGGGGATCCCTGGTGCCATCCCCTCTCCTGGCCACAAATTATGTCACTGGTGCTTTCCTAGAATGCTTCCTCCAGGCCTGGCACTCCAGTGGGCAGGGTATGAGTTTGAGTGTTTAGCCAGAATGTGTCCTGGGGATGCTTTTAGAGACTGGGTGAGGGGCCCCACCATCCCAGAGGTTTGGTGTGGGTAACTAAGAGGTAGGGACTGCAGTGAGAAGAGAGGCATTTTCCAACTGTGTATGATTGATTAGCTGGAAGCTGATCTGGGGAAGATGAACACTGGTACCTGGGCACTAGGCTCCAGGGAGTAGATGGCACCTGTTGGGCATGAAAAGCGGGGAAAGGAAGGCCTGTCACATTCACCTGCACATCTTGCTGCAAGACCTGGAGCAAGTGCTTCTGGAAGCTACAGATGGCAGCCACCAGGGGCTTCTCCAGCTCTTTTAGGGTTCCAGGGAACCTGGTCAGTAGATTGGTCCTGGGGAGGGGCCAGGACAAGATGAGGTGGGCAAGGGGGAGCAATCTGGGCACTGTACCAGCTCTGATCATTGAGATGTTGATGTGAAAGGCAATCCTTGGAGCTGCACAATGCAGTAGCCACAGGACCAAAGTCAAGTGAGGGGACAGCCCCCAAAGCCCTGGGAGCCAATGCAAAGGGAGTGGGCCAGTGGGGTGGTAAGCTGACCCTACTCCAAGGCAAAGTTCTCTTTAGCAGCTCTGGGACAAACCCTCCATCCCTCCTGGTAATGGGACAGTGCAGCATAGCCACATCTGGCACATATTCTCCACTGAGCTTCATCCCTGTCCCTGAAGGTGACAGTATTCCCATTTCACTGTTGGGGAAACTGACGGCCAAGTGATATCCAGTGCCCACAGCATGGCAGGGACACAGCATTGCAGGTTGTAGTTCATTGCTTCCTACCAATAAATGGAGAATGCTCCCTGGAGCTGTACCCCCAGGATCCCAGTGCTGAGGACCTGCCTGGCACAGTTAGGCAAAAGCATGCTGGAGAAACAGGGCCTTGATTGTCATGAACAGGCAAGCCCAGTTCAAGTCCTTACTGACTGCATGAACCTCCACTTGCCTGTTTGAACGTAGGTACGCTACCCTTGAGAAGAAATGCAGCAGTCAGGTAAAGCAGGAGCACGGTGCCTGACACATCACAAGTGCTCACAAAGAGCCAATATGGACTGAGTCCCCACATCCCTCAGGGAGCAGGTGCTCTGATTTCATTTGTTAAAAGAGGAAAAGAGGCACAGAGATGAAGTGACTTGTCCCAGGACACACAACCAGTGAGTGGCAGAGCTGGGATCTGAACACAGACATGGTGGTCCAGTCTGTGCCCTCTGTCACTGACTGCCTGAGGCAGCTATTACATCTTCACTGGCACCAAGACAGCCCCTGCCAACCACAGGAAGGGCCTTGCCTTCTGGGGGCAGAGGGACCCAGATACCTAGCATAGCACAGTGTGGGTGTCAGGGAGGGCTCTTCAAGGAGAAGGTGTCCCCAAAAGAAGAACCCTGGCTGGAATGAATGAAGGAATAAAACACAGTTCAGGGACCGAAGCAGCCACACTCCCTTGGCCTCTGCTCAGACGAGAAGCCATCCCTTCCATGGCCCCAGTCTGGACTGAGGGAAGTCAGCATGGTGGGGGCTCCACAAAACCCATACTCCACCCCTTCCGCCCAAATCCTTTTCCATATCCCTCCTCTCCCTCCCCCTCCTTCCCACTGTTCTCCTCCACCTCCCCCACCCCCACCTACCCCACCCCGCCTCCCACCCGTATCCTGCTCCTTTCTCCATCACAGGCCACCTAGGTCCAGGTTTCCCAAGCTCGCGCGCCCCCTGCTGACTGCAGAAGGAACTGGCGAGAACTACCTCAGCTCTTCGCAGGTGTTAATATAGGCGCCCAGGTGCGGCTCGCTCACTGCCTTCGACTCCAGAAAAGCCTTTTCAAACCTGCGGGCAGGTACGCAGAACACTGGGGATCATTCCTGTCTGCGCTTAAACCTCGGGTCTGCGTCCTCTCAAGTCCACACCCAGACTCCCAATGAGGTCTTGGGTTCTCCCAGTGAGTTCTCCCATTTTGAGCCCACAGGGAGGACACCGCCCATGTCCTGGCTGGGTTATCCTGGCGAGGATGCGCCCTCACCTGGGCACAAAGCCGCCGAGCGCCCGCGCACAGATCCCCAGGGTGGTGGCCTCCAGCTCCGCAGAGATAGCGCCTGCCGCCTTTACATGCTCCGCCACGAGCTGCGAGCGACAGAGACCCGGACCCCAACGCACCTAGTTATCTACCTGATGTCCTAGCGACATCTTCAGCCCGCCCTGTTCTGCTCACAGTCTTGGCTCGAGTTTTCAGTGGCCCCAAGGCAAAATCAATTCTCCCACTCCCGGGTCCACCAGAGGAACCAGGAGCTGTACCCTAGTCTCGCCATACGCCCCAGAGGTCCCTATCCGCCCCACGGGGACCTCAGGCTTCCGTCTAATAGGGAGGGATGGTTAGGACCGGATATGATAGCTTTGAGGGGTCTCCACCCATACCCACACAAGCCCTTCTTCAGACCCCTCCCGGGCGCACCATGTGAATATCAATGGACAGAGGCGTGTGGTAGAGGCCCTGCAGCACTTCCGGGGCCTCGGCAGCCGCCCAGCTGCTCTGCTCGTGCTGCAAGAGGCCGTCGAAGCAGCTTGTGATCTTGGTCTGTGGGGGTTAAGTGTGAGGCCGCGGTGAGACCCTCTCAGAAAGAAGGTCTGAGCGCCCTCTGCCTCCTGAGCCCTGTCCTGCGCCCTCAGGGATGAGGGCCACTCTCCCCTAATCACAAACCCGCCTCCAGGGCTGATGGATGAGCCACCACCAACACAATCAAGATCACGGTCCTGGGCACCGGGCCTCCTCGAGCCTCCTTCCCCCCTTACCTCCAGAAAGTTGGTGTAATCACTCTCCAGTTGGGCCCACATGGCAGGTTCTAGGAGAGGGGGCAGCGGTTCCGTGGGCAGCGCCAAGTCCAGAGAGCCCAAGAAATCAGGGCTGGAAAGCAGGGAAGAATATGGGCCTGGGCAGAGCTCTAATGTGACAGAGGCTGCTACCCCCTCTCTTCTGATCAGGCTCAAAGTCTAAAGCCATGTGTCAGGTCCCTGAACTTGGATTTCTGTTGACACAGTCCACCCCCCTGACTTCCAGGAGTCTGTATCACCACATTTCTCCCCAGAAGCTTCTGTCTGCTGGATTTCCTGGTATGCCAGCAACCAGCTGTGCCTGCCGAGAATGCTTAAGGAGCTGTCCACATGGACCTCTGCCAGGTTACCTCAGTGGTGACTTCTGCCCTCTTGGTTTGCACACACCAAAGACTGAGTTCTAATTGTCACTACTCTCCATACCACACACTTTCAGGGACCTCCCTCACCATCCAACCTACATCAGGGAGTCCCCAAAAAGGGCTGGTACATGGCCATTTAAGGAGCCCAGGATGGCATTCTTGCCTGTGGGGTTGGGGACCACTCATCAGGGAAGGTAATCCACCCCCATCCCACAGTGCACAGCAGGAGGTGGAAGTCCCCAGCAGGCTGTACCCAGAACTTAGATGGCCATGCAAAAGGAAGAGTCGGGGTAAACCCACACTGAGCTCTGTCAGCCGGCAGGAGGGTCCTGCCTGAATGCACTCACAGGCACCTTATGGACTAACACAGCCCCTCAACCGGGCTCCTGACTTAAATGGGAACCTCCCCTTGGGGACCCTCCAGCTTTGGGAACCTGCACATGAGTGGCCCCTCAGGAAAACCTGGAGTGGGAGCACACCACAGCCTAACAAAGGAAAAGAATGTCAAGGTTCCAGGTGCTCCATAACCAATTCTTTCCAAGGGAAGGAATGGAGAAGAAAGGTGAACTGGATTTTTAGAGCTCATTCCCCAAGGCTTCCCCAGGTGGGTCCCTGTCTCAGGCCTCACCTGCCATAGACATTGGCGGCCCAGTACAGCAGCACATAGAGCTGCTCGCAGCCGCGGGCATTGTGCGCAAGCTCCTGCAGGCGTTGGGCCACCGCGCTGTGGAAGGCACGAAGGTAGGCCTCCCATACTGGAAAACCGGCTGCTGCATAAACAGGCTGCACCTCCAACCGCACCTTCTGCAGGTCGCCCCGAACCAAGCCACCGAGCTCGCCCAGAAGTTGGGCCAGGTCTGGAGTGCCCTCTGTAGCCCCAGAGGTCACCCCTGCACCTGCCCTCTGCACACGCTCCTGCGCACTTCGTTGCACGGTGTCCTTCCAGAGCTGACGCCAGTGGCGGGGTGCACGCAGGAAGTCACCATCGGTGGGGGACACCGGGTGGGCCTCCTCTTCAGCCGGCACCACGTGGGCCACTTCGGCAAGCGCGTCTTTGTCCACGCCGTCAGGACCCAGCGTCTCACGCACGATGGTGCGGATTTCAGCTGCCAGCCCGTCGTAATGTAGGCACACGTCCATGGCACGCCGTGCAAAAGCCGTGGGGTCCTGCTCAAAGGTGTGCGACGTTTTCTCCGCTATCAGCCTCGACTCCAGGTGCTGCAGCTGCTGGAAGGCCGCCAGCAATTGCCGCTCAGTGATGAGGTCTGCCACAGATTTGTCTTCTGCAAGGGCCAGTGAGAGGAGGGGTAAGAGAGACCACCCCAGACCCTGGACCAAACTAAGGTGTGTAGGCCCCACTCAGATCCTGCCTGGATGCTCTGAGCCTGACTGGATGCCCTCTACTGGAATAGCAACTCCACCTGCCAGAAGCCCTGCTCCACAATCACACTTGAGCAGGCAGAACAGGGGCCCCAAACCTGGCTGAAAAGTACTATTTGGATTAATGTCTGCCTGCACCACTTGCAACTCCTTACCTTCCACCTTGCTCCTACCTCCACACCCAGCTCTGTTGCGCTTGTCCTGGTGGCCTCAGGTGCAGCCCTGATTGCATGTCTAACAGGGTCAGAGCTCAGGCTGGGTGTGTCCTGCCATGCTCAGGGCTCCTGCCCCAGTGTCCAGAGTCAATCTTACTGGTTGCTTCTTCTGGGGACAGCTGTCTGCTAGTCCCATGCCCCAGGAACCCTCTACTTATATCTGTAATCTTCCCTTAGGGCCCAAGTCCAGTTTGTCCTCCTCTGGGCAGTTCCTCAGCCTTCTTTTCAGGTAGTGATGGCTTTTAATACACCCCAGCAGCCTTGTGATCAGAGAGTGTCAGTGCTTCACACATGGCCAGGAGCCAGTTGTGAAAGGTCACATACAGAGGCCAGGGTTCTACAGTCATGCAGATCAGTGTTCAAATCCCATTTCTCCACTTCCCAGCTGGGACACTTGAAGTAAGTCACTTAACCTCTCAGAGCCTCACTTTCCTCATTTGCCCAGGGAGGCTCCCCTTGCTAAGATGCTGGGAGAACTTGAAGTTCAGTTGTGCAGGAGGCAGGGTATGGGTGAGCTGGGCCTCAAGGAGAACCTGTTAGAAGACTTGACCAGGCTATTGCCCCTCTGGCTTCAGTTTCCCCTTGTGCTTAGTATTGTGTGTGAGGCTCTTACCTGCCTGGGGTTTCAGTTTCTCAGGACCTGCCCCAGTGGATGCCTGCCGACTGACACCATCCTTGACCTTGAAGGGCTCCTCTGGTACAGCAGCAACCTGGGACTGACCAGCAGCTAGGCCACCATCCAGGGCCCGCCGGAAGGAGGGGAGCAGGGAAAGGGATCTTCGCTTGTGTGGACCCTGGTCCTCCTTGGATGTAGAGGCCCGCCAGCTTGCCCAAGAGAAGGCTTGCTTCAAGGTTCCCAGGCCAGCCTTCGAAGTGTCCTCATGATGAGTGTTGGGCTCTTCCCCACTGTTTGTCCGCCGAGTGCCCTGAGCTGGGGTCTGTGGATCCTCAGGCTCCTTGGGGCTTTGAAGTTCTGGCCCAGGAGTCATTGTCCGTGGCAATGGCATCTTGGCAACAGGAGAGCTAGGGGTAATAAGGTTGCTCAAAAGTTCTGGAGGGTGCCTAACCTAGGGAGAAGACACAGCACCTGTGCCAGCCCTGTGGGGCTTAGTCCACGAAGGCTTCCTGGAGGTGGTAGCCCTTAGCTGTTAAAAGGAAGGAAAACTGTCTTGGTTAGAGCCTTCTGTGTGCCAGGCTGCAGCTAAGATGTAAATAGCTACTGTCATCAAGAAACCTTCCCTGGAAAAGGGTCTTCTCCCCACCCACCCCTGCCAGCTACCCACCGTTCATCAGTCTTCAAGACCAGACCTTCTCGTTGGACTTGGATGGGTAGTTGAACAAGCAGATTCTGGGGCCCAGCCCAACCCACAGCCCACACTGAGGGAAGGGCCCAGAAACCACATCCGGGACTTTTCACTTTAGGTCTAATGCCTAAAATGCCCCCCTCATTCCTCCAGCAGCCACTTTATGCCCTCCAGTATACTGGGCCCCCTTTCAGCACAAAAGACCTGACTACTTCTGCTCAAAGAAGAGGTCAGGGACCCCAGGGGAGTCACCCCTTCCCTGGGTGTCATGGAGCTGGAGGGCAGTGCTGTGGTGCCTGCGGGCACTGGCCAGAGGCCACCCTGCAGCTTATCTCCCTCAGTCAGCCCACAGGAAAGGTGGTGGGAGGGACCTCAGGTCTATATTTAACCAGAGGCTGGGGGTTCCTGATGTTGTTTCCCACCCATTGCACCTCCCCCTATCCCCTACCTCCCACCTTCACCATAGGGAGTCTGGTAGGAGGTCCAAAGGTATGGGGGCCACACACAGCCCAGGCCCCAGCTTTTGTTTTTCTGGCTGCACAGAGGGGAGGTGGGGAGAATCTTCCCTGCCTACTGGACCTCCTGTCCACCCATCTTGCAAACTGGGACACTGGGGTGTCGGACTAGCAAGGTCTCACTCTACCCTTGGAGAGACTGAGACCAAAACAAGGACTGGACTTGCTATTCAGAGAACCACCAATGCAGAGCCTGCAGCCCTCCTCAGGGCTCCCCACCACCCCAGTGGCCAGGACAAAGCCCAGTCTGGAGTCAGGGCCAGACCTCTGGGTGAATCAGAAAGGAACGTCCCCTCTCTGGAACTCCATTTGCTCTGAGTTGAATTGACTGCGTGATGAGCAGGCACAGACCCTCACCCACACTGTACTCCCCAGGAAGATGTTTATCGAGGGCCAGCTGAGGCCTACACTCCTTGGGTTTCCCAGGGGGGGGGGGGGGGGGGGGGGGGGGGGGGGGGGGGCCAGGGGGGGGGGGGGGGGGGGGGGGGGGGGGGGGGGGGGGGGGGGGGGGGGGGGGGGGGGGGGGGGGGGGGGGGGGGGGGGGGGGGGGGGGGGGGGGGGGGGGGGGGGGGGGGGGGGGGGGGGGGCGCGGGGGGGGGGGGGGGGGGGGGGGGGGGGGGGGGGGGGGGGGGGGGGGGGGGGGGGGGGGGGGGGGGGGGGGGGGGGGGGGGGGGGGGGGGGGGGGGGGGGGGGGGGGGGGGGGGGGGGGGGGGGGGGGGGGGGGGGGGGGGGGGGGGGGGGGGGGGGGGGGGGGGGGGGGGGGGGGGGGGGGGGGGGGGGGGGGGGGGGGGGGGGCGGGGGGGGGGGGGGGGGGGGGGGGGGGGGGGGGGGGGGGGGGGGGGGGGGGGGGGGGGGGGGGGGGGGGGTGGGGGGGGGGGGGGGGGGGGGGGGGGGGGGGGGGGGGGGGGGGGGGGGGGGGGGGGGGGTGGGGGGGGGAGGGGGGGGGGGGGGGGGGGGGGGGGGGGGGGGGGGGGGGGGGGGGGGGGGGGGGGGGGGGGGGGGGGGGGGGGGGGGGGGGGGGGGGGGGGGGGGGGGGGGGGGGGGGGGGGGGGGGGGGGGGGGGGGGGGGGGGGGGGGGGGGGGGGGGGGGGGGGGGGGGGGGGGGGGGGGGGGGGGGGGGGGGGGGGGGGGGGGGGGGGGGGGGGGGGGGGGGGGGGGGGGGGGGGGGGGGGGGGGGGGGGGGGGGGGGGGGGGGGGGGGGGGGGGGGGGGGGGGGGGGGGGGGGGGGGGGGGGGGGGGGGGGGGGGGGGGGGGGGGGGGGGGGGGGGGGGGGGGGGGGGGGGGGGGGGGGGGGGGGGGGGGGGGGGGGGGGGGGGGGGGGGGGGGGGGGGGGGGGGGGGGGGGGGGGGGGGGGGGGGGGGGGGGGGGGGGGGGGGGGGGGGGGGGGGGGGGGGGGGGGGGGGGGGGGGGGGGGGGGGGGGGGGGGGGGGGGGGGGGGGGGGGGGGGGGGGGGGGGGGGGGGGGGGGGGGGGGGGGGGGGGGGGGGGGGGGGGGGGGGGTGGGGGGGGGGGGGGGGGGGGAGGGGGGGGGGGGGGGGGGGGGGGGGGGGGGGGGGGTGGGGGGGGGGGGGCATGGTATTTAGTTACATGTGTGTAGCTGTAATCCCAGCTATGAGGGAGGCATGGGGTGAAGATCACTGTCCTAGGGTAGTCCGGGCAGAAGAAACACAAGACCTTATTTGAAAATAACTAAGCAAAAAGAACTGAGGATGTGGCTTAAGTGGTAGAGTGCTGGCCTAGTAAGTACAAGGGCCTGAGTTGAAAACCTCAGTACCACAAAACAAAATGAAAAAACAAGAAGATTTTCCATACCCATTACCTCTGCACCACAGTGACTTTGATAGTTATATTATTGTTGATTGAATAATTTTAAAAATGCTAACCTTACCAAATCATGAGCTGAGCTTTCACCACCTTTGTGATGTTGGCTAAGAGCTCTGCAGCTAAATAAGTGTACTATCCAGCACAGGAATGTTAAGAACATATAACATCTTACATTTCTGACTGTGCAATTAGTTTGGAATTTGAAATGGACCTGACAGAAAGTTGGGGCTGAAAAGGCTCGGCGTAACCTGATGCTTAGCCTTGCCAGGTGGTATCTGTCACACAGGATACAGCAACACTCCATCATCTCAGACCCCTGTGGTCGAGGGTCTGAGGTACCTCCTTCACGTTTGGGTTCGGTCCTAAGACATATGCAGTGCAGAGTAGAGGGACAAGTTCTCAACTCAGCATAACTGACTGCATAGATTGTGATATTTTATAATGGAATTTTACTGTTTGAATAGCTGCAAATGCCCAAAGCCATAATTCTGCAATAATTACCATAGCTTTGAGAACTTTCTGCCCATCAATGAGAACCAGAATTCAAAATTACCAAACAAAATCATCTTGAAAACCTGGTTTCTTCTGAGCCAATTTACTCTTCCCTAAGCCTGCCTGCTGATAAAAGGTGGCATGTCTATGCTGGCATAACAATAATGTGCCTGGCTCCTCAAATTACTTGTGTTCTGAAAGAAATAAAAATCTCACAAGTCCACATCTCTACACCCTTTTATCATATCTAGGAATCCACTCTATTAAACAGAAGGCAGAACTTAGAAAAAGTCCCCAGAATAGTGAGTATGTAACCGATCCACCGAGCTGTTCTCCATGTCCCCTTTCTTTAAAATGAGGACACACCAAAAAAGGGGCTCCTTGCACACTCTCGGGCACAGCACTGTCACAAGAAGTTCATTTGGTGGGAAGATGAGTCACCAAGGCCTCAAAACCCCTTTAAAAGTCTATTTTTATCAATTTGTGCATGGAGTTTGGAAACCTGTTCATCCCCAAACTTCTATGGCATTTTATTTTCAATATGCTCCACTTACTTGTCACTCAGTCTTTTCTTGGATGGCACCTGTAAAGGCCACCTGAGAGTCACAATGCCCGAAGCTGAAAAAAGTGCTCAAATTCCTCACCCACCACTTCTGAGCATTCCAGATTCCAACTTCCTGTTCTCTTGCTCCCACCAGACATGCTGCCCTCTGTACCTGGAAAGCCCCATCCCCACCCCAAACTCCCTGCCTGGCTACCTCCTGCTTATCCTTCAGGATTCTGTGGGATTCGTTTCCTTCAGGCAGCATTCCCCGACTGCCACTCAGAGCTGGTTGGTGCTCTTTACCAGGACCTGTGCCCCCAATCCACAGGCGCCACAGCGCCACCACAACCCATCCCTCTCTCTGCTTGGCCACTGAGCTGTCCTCTGAAGATGGGGACACATCCATCTTGTTTACCATTGTGTCCCTGATGTCTGGTAAATTGCCTATTCATAACAGCTGTGGTAATAATATTTAAAGAATGAACACAGAGCAATATGACAGTAAGTAAACTGTAAAATACTTTTATAACTGCCTTACAATAGGATCCTCAAGTTCAAACTAAAAAACGTATGAGAATAACATCTAATGAAGTATTTTAACCTGAGATAATGGCAAGTCAATCAGAATATACCCCTCTTAATTTAAGCCAAGTTTATTCTACTCATTTAATGGAGTTGGCTAAATAGAAACTCAAATGAGTGCTTTGTTAATTATACTAATTAACAAACTGCTGCACTAAAATATATGAGTTATGTAACACCTAGTTAAAATTGAGTGTGTGTGATTCTGTGCATGGAGTACGTATGAAATAAGTGAGGTAGTTTCTGGAAAGGGTAGTTTTGTGGCCTCAGTTACTTAAGAGATTCTGCAAGTGTTCAAGATTCCTGACGCAGCATCTGAGATGTGGAGGGGGTGGGGAGTGCTGAGTCTGGGAGGCACTTTTATTCTCCACTCTTAGTAATGGATAATTAAGACGCCTCAGAGCCAGAACAAAAGGAGATATATATCCTACCACCACCTAAGAATCTACTGGATCTCCCAGATGAAGAAAATCAGAAAATGATGTCTTAAGGTATCATCCTTATTTTACATTCTATTTTAATTCATAAGAACTTTATTTGCTCAACATGTCATCAGCACATCTATTTCAATAATCCTGGAATTCAAAATGCAGCTCAAAAGTTACTTCTTTAGATAAACTTTACCCAGATTCTTGACCAGGTCAAATTCTAATGTTCTCCCCAGAACAACTAGATTTTACATTTTGGGGTACAATTGATTTAATCTGTCAAACTCCTCTAAAACTCTGTAACTCACACCTTCTAGGA